AATTGCTTTGTCTCTTTATTTTGAGAGTTTTTTCTTTGAAAGTCACAAAACAGTGTAACAGTTAAAATAGGTTTGTAGGCTTTAGTTTTTTTTATTAATAAGAGGATAAATAGATAACAAACAAATAAATCAACTCTCATTCATATTTGTAATTCTATAAGTCAGAAATTGAGTTGAGAATTTATTTAATAATATATTTAATGAAGTACGTGTAAAATATTTGAAATAAATAAAAAAGTATGACACGTTTGCTTAACATAAGAATAGGCGACAAAATATGCAGACTCTTTTGACATACTTAGGCACTCAGTGTCTATAAATAGTAATAGTAAGCATTTTCTTTTCCTCTTCAACTTCATCTATATCATAGCATTATCAAAAGTCTAAGAAGTCTTCTCAAAACATTAATTTCCATCCCATCTGAGTCCATAAAAAAATGTACCCTTAATTCGTATTTGCCTTTTGTACTGTGGACTTTATGTTAAGGGAAGCAATAAACACAGACCAGTGAAACATTCTTTTGTTATTCCACAGAGTGTCTCCGCAGTCTTACAGAATATTCAATAGTCAATTTACTTTGTCAAGTGCCACAAATTGTTAAAGATATTTTTAGACTACCTATTTGTATCTTCAAATAACATGAAGTGAGATAGGATTCAAATGACAATGGATTTTAGATAATAATAAAAACATTATTTAAAAAATGAACTTCTATTGTTAAGCAACTGTGAATTCATGGTTGTGGTTTGGTTTGAGGATTACAATATAAAGGCAGTTACTTAGTTATCATCATTATCATATCAGCCGTTAATTCCCCCATAGACTACCAAAGAATCTGTATCCACTAACTAAATCAAATTAATACAGAGGCATAATACATTAGTCAACTCATGTCCATAAGTTGTATCTTGCACATTGGTGATATTTATGGCCTTATCCCCTTCCTTTTGTGTAGACGTCATTAGTGATGGCGACCTATTCAAAGTGGTATTGTTTAAAAAAAATGTATAAATATTTAGGATTTCAATTTATAATTAACATCCCATTTAAAAATCATATTTTGCCAAAACCATCGATTGTCAACCCGTCTACCGATTAGTTCTGTAAGGATTGCAACTACGGGCAAAATCTCCATGGATTATCAATATGAGAGGCTATTTTGAGCAGTGGATAGTTAATTGCTAATACAACAATGGCGTTATTCTTGCTTATTACCTATAAGTGATGATTACCTTTTTTACAAGTTCAAAAAATATGGCAGGAGAATGACAACAATTTTGTGGTATTGTTTAAAAAAAAAATGTATCCATATTAATTATTTACAATTCAAATTGTGTAAACATGATTTAACTAAGCATATGCAATATATTAGACAAATACCTACCCCCAAATAAATATTGTTCTAACAGACTTACATCACTTAATAGAGAACTGTTCTGGAAGTACTGCATAACATGGCTTGCATGCATTGGATTAGTGCCAGCTCGTCGGAACTACTCGGACTAGGCAAATATAAACCGACAAGTGCTTTGTGCCGATTGCGCTGTAGAACTTCGTAATGTAAGGGGCGGAAAAATTGGAGTGGGGTCTTTAATAATAGTTAAAACTGCTTTAAAATTGTCGCTTTACTTAAGTTATATATTAAGTATTGAGTGACAAAATCAAACTGTCTAATTAGCTGACGTGACTTTTTTAAACAGTGTTCTATACAATAAAGAATCGGTGCCATTTTTCAGTGTTGCAAGTATTAAAAATCCTCATAATATAATCAAAATTTACCAAATAAGGTGATTATTTTTCAATTTGAATTGATTGATTTTCGGTTTTAAAAAAGATTTACGTCTTTTTTAAATAAATAATAACACAATTAAATATATTATCAATCAATAAAGTTTACACAGATGAAAGAAATATACAAAAAGAAGCATTATTATTGAAAATTAAAACAAACGCACCAAGTCAACAATATAATCCAATAATGAATGAATAATAATTAAATATATAAATAAATTTAATACAGAATTAGATAAATAACAATAACGACATTTAATTTATATTATATTACAATTACCTTTATCTGCATACCTTAATTTAAAGTAGTAATTTATAATCTGGTATCCCAATTCAAGTACACATGGATAAAAAGTTAATATGTTTTTGGCGAACATTTATATGATACGCTATCTGTATAATCTAATTAATTTTTCTGTGATTATAATACAATTTTATTTTATGTTATGATTTAGATTAAAGTCACTATTTTTTTGTTGAAATTTTGAATTATTCGATTATTAGTTGTTATTGTTGGCTATGTCGTTAGTGTCATCGGGATTCATTAGTTGATTAACCAGGAAATAAAGTAGTTTACATGCTTCTCTATTTCCATTATTACAGTTTTATTAAATTTCATAATGATTGTGAAAATAAAACCTAAAAATCATGAGAGTCGTGAAATATCTCTTAAATTAGTTACAACCCATTACTTTCGTGACATTGTGCTAATTTTGTACCATCGCGTCCTCGCTTCCGTAAACATTACAAAGTTGAAACTTTAGAAGTGAAATACGTAGATATATATTTTTTATGTATAGTATATATATATATATATATATATATATATATATATATATATATATATATATATATATATATATATATATATATATATATATATATATATATATATATATATATATATATATATATATATATATATATATATATATATAGTATTCCATCAGTACTCATATTACAAGCTCTGCTTAGTTTGGGGCTAGATGACGGTGTGTAATACGTTATGTTTAGTGGCGATATTTACATTACACTAGCTTTAACCTGTGACTTTCCACGTGATCAGGATATGTTCACTGATTAGAATTAATTAATCAATCAATTGAGGGATGGGCAGCAGTGTTCCTCTTAAAACATCTCTAAAACAATCTCTAAAGTCAAGCTGCGCCTTCCAAATGTGGCAATTATTGACAAAACTTCCCTTATGAGAAAGGCTTGTGTTCAGCAGTGGACAGTTATCGACTGAAATGATAACAATAAATTTCCTATTCCATCTATACCACTTAACACGTGTATACAAAATTTCATAGCAATTTGTTAAACTGTTAAGAGATAACAAACAAACAAACTTATTTTAATATTTATAATATTATAAAGGATTATTATGGTTAATTTTAAAATCGAAGGAAAGAAATAATCTGAGTAAGAATTTATGCCTCAGTTCCAAATTTCCGGCTAAACAGATGAATCATTGGTTTCCTCTATGCCATATCTATTAATTAAATCTAATAAATAAGAAATATTGGATCATTATTCCAAATTTATGATGCGATTAATTCTTGTATATAGTAAATAGGTTAGGTGGTCAGGTCAAGATATAATAAATAATATAATTTTTCTGTTTTTTTTTTATAGCTTTTACCCGTGATTTCGCATGATCTGGATATTGTTTACTGACCTAGATAAAAAATGGTCTACGTGCTTTTTCATTCTATATAGTACATGTATACCAAATTCACAGTGATTTGTTAAGCTGTTAGTGCATTAAGAGCTAATAAACAAACGAATAAATAAACAAACAAACTCATTTTCACATCTTTCTAATATAATAAAATTGTAACCGAACGATGTCTGTACATGGAAGTTATTTAAGAAAAAATTAAATAAGATATTTTAATAACAGCAATAATAGCTAATTTTTTTTAGAAATTTTGAATCTTTGATTTTTTCCAGCATCACACAAAAACTATTGCACTAAATTGTGTACTGTCTTTACGGGTGTATTTCTGAAAGTTTAACTTAAAACTAGTGTATGTTTTATCTCGATACGCCATCTTGAAGTAGTCCATTTTATTGGTTTTCTTACTTCTGGAAATTACGCGCTACAAAGTAGTGAATAAAAAGCTTTTTATAATATTAACATCACAGTCCTCAGGAATGGCAACATTATTCATGTCCGTAAGTGACGATTGCCACTTTCTATCAAGTGAGCCAATAGCTTGATTGCCATTCTAAGTATGGTCGAAATAAATATTGCAACTACAAGATGTTACAAGTTTTTATACAGTTATATATGTATTGCGTTTGAAACTATAACATCTGCGGGTCTACCATGAAATGAAATTCCGAAATTTCGGACTCAATCGTGTTTTTATTTATACCAAAATCAGACCAATAAATGGAGTTTAACATTTCGTTCGTCATATATCCTATCATAAAAGTCCAAAGGAATAGTATTTTAACATTTTTAATATTTCCAAACGGAATGTATTATGTAATTTTAACATCAAATTTGCGTTTGGGTGGGCTTCAAAATTTCGGAAAACATTTCATGGTAGGCCGTCTGGTTAGAATTGAGTAACGGAAGGTTTATTATTTCACAAAATCACTAAATTAAAACGGCAGCAGGTGAAAGCTCAGTCGGCAAATCCCGGTCCCAACCTCTGATTTTTGCAGATTCACGTTAAAATCATATAAAAAGAACATTTCCCTTCTTAAAAAAACTGGCAATTTCGATCGTAACAAATTACAGCGATGAACAACTTGATGACTTGTAGACTACCTAAATATTGCTCCTACATATTGTAAGAACCTAAATGCTCCCATAAATAATAATTTCTGAGAAGTTTTGCCTCGCGAATGCTCAGGCTGTGGAACTGAGTTAGAGACTAAAGTATGGGGTTTTTAAAAAAAAGGTCGTATTAAGGTTTCTACAGGTTTCTTCCCCCCCATTGGTAAACTGAACAAAAAACGAACTAAAAAAGAAACGGGAGCGTTCTTTATGGCAGTCTATGGGGAAGACCTATGTTCAGCAGTGGACAAACAATGGCTAAAATGATGAATGACGATGATATTAGATTTACTCTTGACGTAAACTCTTACTAACGAACGCGGTTTATGACTCTGTGGCGAGTGAAATCTATGTAAATTAACATAATATAGTATAACTCACGATAGTTATTAATTAAAATAATATATCTTTGTTGCAGGTATCAAGTATTATTTTTCGTGGTGACCTACGCCGTTCCCATGATGGGGATGACGTTCTTTTATTCAGCCATGGGCAGGGTATTGTGGGGTTCAAGATCTATAGGGGAGCTAACTCAGAGACAGGTGGACTCGATACGATCTAAACGAAAGGTAACATAGAACATTTTAATTATCTTACTAATATATATATATAATACATATAGAATAGGCCAACCCTTTCCTTTCCCGTCTATTCCATGCCGGGACCTTACGGCTCTTAAGATAACTATATTTAGTGATTTGTGAATCAAATTTTTTTTATCTTTTTTATCTTAAATGCGAATTTATTTTTACTTGGTGCCTAATAATAAGGAAGTTTGATGTAGATACAGTATTTGGCATAGAGAAACATATAAGTTATTTATTCAGGGTAATTTATATGTTGAAACTACACAGATGTAATTTAATAAGCATAATATTGTTATAAAAATAGACTAAATGGAATATATATTGAATAAAAATATTCATTCACCAAAAAAATAATAAAATAAAAAGCAATTGGTAACTTAAATCTATTTAAATTTTAATAAATTATAGCATGACAATAACTTGAAGAATTTCCACCAGATCTGTAAAAAGAGTTTTTTATGAAAAAAAAATGTTCCAATTAATAGATGTTCTATTTTCAAAATTGGCATCAATTACAAGTATAAATTATCGTCAGGGTCAAATAAGGAAAGAGTATCTAATTTATTTTGGCGTGAGCCTCGGAACTTTTGCTTCTGGAATTAATTGTTACGAACTCGCTTGATTTTAATCAGTCTTCACTGAGCCATCCACAAAACTGGGATAGTTGAGTATACTTAAGAAAAGGGCTTTGAATACAACCTACACAAACTATTAAAACTGTTTGTTTCAACTTGTTTAGCAGTTTATTTATTTACCATCCAATTCTCCAGAAAATTCCATGTATTCTCAAATTGAATAGGTTTTTACTATAGGTAAGCATAAAGAACTAAATATTAAAGTTAAGCATAATTGAGTAACAAGCATCCAAATATCTTCATAAACTTTCACATTTTTAATATTAGAAGAATTAACATTTGTGCGTTATATATTTATAGTGAATTATAATATTAAACTTAAGTAAAGCCCTGTAGATATATAAGTGATGGATAAGGCCCCTCTGTAGATAAGGCCACTCCTTCCTTTCTCATAAGTTTCATAAGATGCGACTAAGAGAACTTATGGTTGAGGGATGGGCAACAGCGTCCCTTTTAAAACATCACCAAAAGCGGTTGCCAATCTGACTACCAAGCATGGCAACTGCTGGCAACTGGCAAAGCTTTTGGGGTAGGTCTATGTCCAGCAGTGGACTGTACTGAGTAATAGCTGAGATGATGATGTTAATATTAAATAAATAAACTACTTAGTATTTTCTTTTTTTTCAGGTTGTGAAAATGTTCATACTAGTAATTGTGATATTTGGTATATGCTGGCTACCCTACCATATGTACTTCATTTACACTCACTTCAACCCTTCAATATTATATATGAAGTACGTCCAGCATGTATATCTCGGATTCTATTGGCTGGCTATGGCGAACGCCATGGTAAATCCTCTCATTTATTACTGGATGAATGCCAAGTAAGTACTGTGTAATCTCTTGTAACCTTATATTATATAAATGGGACATCGAGTGATAAAAACAGGCCAACATTCAGTCAGTCAAAAATTAGCTGACTCGATTTTTTCAAACAGTATTTTATATATTAAAAAATTTGCGAATTTTTCAATGTATGTTTCGAATACTTACAGTATTCGAAAAATAGTTCTCGCAATGGAGTCAAAATTTCCCAAATATTGTATTTTTTTATGAGGGTTTATATACTTAAGTAAATATATTAAAATATTAATAAAGGATTAAATAACTAAAATTTCATTATTTAATTCCTTATATCCAAATGTTGTCTGGAAGAGATTGCTTAGCAATAAGACCGCCTTTTGTAAATATATTGATTGCAAATTCTTGTAATATTGGTGTAATAAAGTGTAAAATAAAAAATAATAATGATAATTTATGTATTTTATATTAAAAAAATTTCCACTTTATTTAAAATAATAATTTATAATGTGGTATCCCAATTCACGCGCATATTGATAAAAAATTTGACCTGTTTTTGGCTAAGCATTTATTTATTCATTAAACTTTAATACACCTAGAAAGTGTAAATGGTGGACTCAACACCATATGGCGTTATCGATCAGTCGACTGCATTTGTATGAAGACACTCTATCAAACTTCTGTTGTCCTAATACTTTCGAGAGAGTTACGTACGTAGGTGGTAATGGACAAACTAAAATTTGAATGGGAAGTGAAAATTGTACGTGTTCGTGTACTTACTATGTTATGGTGCAAAAGAAGTCCTAATGAAGTCGTTTGAATTTATTGGAGTAGTCTATTTATTATTTATATAATTTACAGGAACTTTTTTTATATGCAAGTCTCGTAGAGTATAAACAAGTATGAAAACAAGTCAGGCAATAATCCGATTTCTGATTTTCATAATTCCTTAGAAATAATTAAACAACATAGTGAATAAATTCACAATATAGGCTTATGAGTAGTTTCATATATAAAAAACGAAACTATGCATTCTCCATAGTTTATTAGAGGAAGAGTAATATTTATATGTCATTTTTATATCCGTTTCGCACGCGGAGTGAATATAAAAAGTTATAAAGCTAATTTAGAAAAGTGTTTTAATATTATTACTGCATCGTATTTTCCTTAAGCAATTTAGAAGGTTCTGGATCGTTTGAGAAAGATGCCACGTTTCCACTTTCTCGATTGAATAGTTTATGTAATAATAACAATATATAAGGTCTAAAGAGCTTTGAGTAAATAGATAATCATCTTGTTTATTTGTATCTTGAGGTTACTACCTCATTCTTAAATAATGCATACAGTACTCTGTATGCATTATTTAAGAATGATATAAAAAATCAATACCTGACGATCTGTTAATGTAGAAGAGACAATAGAAATAGAAAATCAAGGTATCTGAATAGACTAGTACCTACAGATATTCATTTTTACAAAATTTGTATGATTTTATAATTGTAATCGTATTTAATAAGTTTATAAGTGTTAAACTTTTGTCAAATGTAGAATAGAAATAGACACGATGTGATATACAAAACGAGGAAATACAAAAACTTAATAAATAAGTCTAGTCTTATCCGAAACATTACACAAAGGTTATATACTACTCGACTGTTTCACTGAGTTTCTCTTATGAAGCGTTCAAAGGTGTACAAGTTTGAAGGATGGAATATTATAGTGGAGTATTACAGGATACGAAGCGTAAGGAATAGAAATAGAAAAACAATTGTTCGGAATTTCTTATATATTATAAAACAGACAAAATAATGCATAATAAATTATAACATTTTAGAAATAGCAGCTCATTTTGACATTAATGATCCTGCTTATGTCTATAGGTGGCGATCTCTACTTTCAATTAGTTAGGCCGCCAGCTTGTTTGCCAACAATATTTAAATTGCAACATTAAAAATTTTTAATAATTGTTTCTGTAGGTTCAGGACCTACTTCCGAACGGCTATACTCTGTCGATGGAGGGATATGCTGCGCCGACGTCGGAAGAGACCACTTCCTGAGTCACCACCGGACATCTCGCAGTCTGGCAGCCGTTCCAGATCAGGTTTTTACTCGTTAACGTAATTATTAAAGTGATATCTTTGGTATCATTAATCAGCACTTTTAATAATTTGCTAATTCATCGACACTTATTGGGCTTATACTCGGTTATCATACCACAGTGTTTTCCTTTTTTTTAGGAACACACAGATCTTTATATGACGATAATCATGCAAGTGTTGAATATCCATAGCACTTTAATATATATTTCAGTGACATCATCAAATTTTTATTAACTGCAGTGCATGGAATGGTATTAATTTTGTTTAGGATAACTTACACGAATAAATGTTGATTTTACTTTTGTACGATAAATACTCTTTGACTCTTCTTTTTATCATAAAAGTTACTCGTTTTTTTTTTTGGCTGTTTCTTATCACTAAACTTGTTAAGTCTTACAAGTTCTGATTATAATATCTGGAATACTTTACATTATAATGGAGATTTAACAGTCAAAAATTTTTACATTAAGCTCATTTTCGCTACAATAAGTAGAAAATTGAGATCAGACTAAGTGTAAGTCTTTGATACTGCTAAACACAAGGTAACAGGCAAGCATTAGATAAATATAGGTCAAAGGTTAATTTAGCGAATGTAAACATTGAGATCTATTATGTATCTACTTGGTTAAGTGGAAAAATGCCCAAATATGTGCTGATTTAATTTGCTTACACAGTTTTAGCAAACAAAAAAAAATATTGTTTCTTGTAAGAAACTATAGTATGGGATTCTTCAAAAGGGGGGTAAAGAGGTTTTTTGAGGGTCGGCAATACGCGCGTAATACCCCTGGTATTGCAATTGTATGGTAACTGTTTACCATCAGGTGGTATAAAACAAAAAACCAAGAACTGTGTTGCTAAAAATATATATTTTATGTTATTTGTAGATTTACTACATGGTTACTGTTAATACATGTTACAGTGCCCAACACTAAAGAACCTACTAAGCGTACGATACATGTTATTCTGTGACATTTGACCGTTTATTCAAGCGGCAAATGAATCCATTTGTATCGCTTATTCTGGACATGTTGGCCTTAAGTAATATAAAAACTTTTTAGAAATGTTGTAATAGTTCTGTCCTATAATAGTGATAGTAATATTTGAATGTTATTTATATATTTATTTCAGTCAATTAGTAGTATTTTAATTTTAATTTTATTTTATTTATTTAAATTACATAGGTAACAATGGATGGTAAAACAAGATAAGTCCTCTATGATCAACCCCATATATCGAGGTATACAAATTTGCAATTATATAAGAAAAAACAAATTAGTATATTATGCTATATTAATATTGGTCTCTATTTATAAATACCTAACAAACAAAGGTAAATATTTAAATTATTTAATTCGATTTCTCCCTGTATATTAAAATTTTCGATCGGTTTTGGGATCATTCGGGTCCCTTAGACATAAGCAACCGTGATTCGAGTGTGTGACTGTGCCCAATTATTTACAATAGATTTGTGGATATACTTGTATAATGTAGTCTGTAAATATATTCGAGATTTTTTTTATAATTGCCGGAAACGACAAACAATCAGATCTTCTATCGAGTTCGAAAATAGTAAGGCATCTTTGAATTTAAAATGTGAATAAAACTGATATAAATAATAACAATATAGTTATTGACAAAAATAACACAATAGTTATTATTTAACAAACATAAGTTCAGAAAATTCCGTTATTCTGGTATACAAAGTACGTAGGTTAGTGGTAGATTCTAGGAGGTGTATAGTTTGGTAATTTTTGGAATAAAATAAAAAATGAATAAATTATTAGATGAATTCTATTAAACTTATTGTTATGTTTTTGTTACAGATATGAATATTTTAAAAGTTATACAATGTTATTGAAGCGAATAAAACTTTTAGAATGGATAATTTGTACTAAGTAATAATATTGTTCATAATCAGTATTTCCAAACAATAATTAAACGTCGAGTAAATGTTTCCCGACTCTTGTTCAAGGTCAAATTGGTTGTGTAATTATTGGGTATAGAAGTTATATCTCAGGCTTAACTGCGATAGAAACATTGAAGGGTGAGATATGGTAATGAAATTACAGGGTACAGAGGCATGACACTTTATATTTTATAAAATACGCGTTAATTTAGGTGAACTGTGATAATTTACCTGAATTATGTCGACGTTACACGACCGGTGTAACTTGAGGGCCTACCATGAAATGGCGCCTAACGAAATACACATTTGATATTTAAATTACATAATAAATTTTGTTTAAAAATATTAAAAATGTTCAAATGTCATTCCTTTGGTCTTTTATGGTAAAATTTATGATGAAGGAAATGTTAAGCTTAATTTACTAGGTCGATTATAGAAATTGACGAAAATATGAAATTGAGTCCGAAAATTCGGGTTTTCTTTTAATAGTAAACCCCCCGGCAGTAGTCATGAGTAGACTGACATAGCACTGCCATGTTTCCGTTTCCGCAGCAGATGTATTTTCTTCTACCCACTTATTTTTACTTCTACCTCGGAAGCGGAGATATGACAGCGGTCAACAGTACACTCGTGACGACGGCCGGCGTAACATTGTCATCATCATTATTATATTAGTCGGTATTCATGTTTGGCCCACGGGTTTGAGTTGCATAAAAACAAAAAAAAAAAAACTCTGTCTTGAATTTTCAAAAAATATATATTTTCAAGTTAGTGAAAACTTAACTTATTTATTTAGAATTTAAGATCGTGTTAATTGTGGCGAAACCGTTTATTCTGATTTATAATCTAAATACTTAACTGATATTGACAAAATTTATAGTAAGCCAATCTGTCAATATATTCTTTAATATAAAAAAAAAATCTAAATCAATTTAGAATTATTAGAGTTATGAGGTAACAAACATAGAAAATAAATACAAGCGAATCGAGAGTCTTTTCCTTTTTGAGGTCAGTTAAAGGTGTTTGTCGGCTTTAAATAGAGCATGAACAGATGGTAAATTTGGCATTGTTTTTGCCAGAAGTTGTCTAACTGTCATAACAATCAATTAATTCGCACCGTTGAGCAGGAGTAGATCCCTCCCCATAAAGGGCAAAGGTTATTGCCCTACTGTTACTAAGCTAGTCGCATTGCTTGGCATGCAGTTTTATTAGAAGTATATTTTCTCTAATAATCTTACTAATATAATTTTGAAAGTTGTAACTGAACGATATCCGTACATAGAAGATATTTAAGTTTAATATTTTTTGATTGAATATTATCACAATATTGTACACCGCTCTGCTCGCTGACGTTGATGCTCTTTTCTACTTTGAGTTTGCTGGAAGAGAACTCTTTTAGAGTTAAGCTCGCCTTTGTACATTTACATATCTCTGTCATATTTTTATGTGAAAAAAAATATATGAAAGTTCTTAATTATGAACAATAAAAACCTATATAATATTTTTTAGAACTTTTGTCTGCTTTCTCTTTGAGGCATTACGCAAAAACTATTACACAAAAATGTATGCGGTTTGTAGTTGTGTTCCTTTAAATCTAGGTAAAAATTGATGTGTATTCTATCTTGATACTTTATTTAAATGTTGCCTATTTAATTTATTTTGCTAGTTCTGAAATCCATTCGTACGAAATTGCGAGTAAAATACTAATAAAGAATTTGATGGTGTTTTGATATTTATTCAAATTTCGAATATTGCGGAAGTACAATATTATCACAATATAACATAATTAATTAAGAACCTTTTGTTCCAATACAAAATGTTATTACCATGAGATAGTATTCCAGATTCTAAGTATCCTTTTGATACCCTATAATGTCTCCTTAGGCCATTTAGGTAAGCAATAGTAATAATTTTGATTTGTGTGTTCCGTGTAAATAAAGCTTAAATTTAGTACACTAATTTACTTAACGATTTGATACTTAAATTTGGACAAATAATTGAGTTTTTTTTTCCAAATATTTGCTTCTAATTTGGCAACAACATAACTCATCATATCAGCCGTTACCAGAAGGAGACTTTGTACAAAAGTCGTTTGCTTGGGCACCTCTGTTCCATTCGTATTTTTACCATGAAGCAGTTGTGTTTGCATGGCTGTATTTCGGTTTGTAGGGTGGGATATGGCAGTGAATTTACTGGGTACAGGGGCATAATTTCTTAGTTTCAAGAATGGCGACTCATAGGGGGTATCATGGGTGAAACAGTATACTTTGTTATATGTCCATGGTACTGTTCAAGTCTATAGGCGACGGTTACCATTTTCTATCAGGTAGACCATCAGCTTGTTTGCCATTCTAAGATGTATAAAAAAAATTGGGTAATTTTCCAAATATTTGTTCCTAATTTGACAACAATACATTATTATCATGTCACCCGTTATCTGACCATCTTCCTTATAGACTGCCATTAGGAACAATCTTGAACCAGTTGCATCCACTGACTCTAGTAGGGGTCGTCCTACACTGCGTTTGCCCGTACGGGGTCGTAAAGTCAAGAAATTTTATTCCCCATCGGTTATTGGTTCTTCGAGCTATGTGACATTGCCATTGCAGTTTATGAGGTATACTGGAACAAAAATACTTACATACGGATGGACAGACAAAATTTCTAAAAATTATTCTTTTGATTTCTGTTGATCTTGTTAAAGACCTTCCTATTATTATTTTTTAATATTATATTTGGAAATGATTTCCAGAGCCGTTTAAATTTCTACAAAAGAAATAATTTCCGTTACAAAGGAGTTCGATAACTGAGAACTGAAATCGTGCTATTTTTATACAGTTGGCATGGCAAAATGCATATTTTATTCAAGCAAACTAAGTGGCATTATTGCTTTACCCGACGTTTTGACAGAGTTGCTTTTGTCCTTTATGAATGGAAGGACTCGGTAAATATATCTATATATAATATTGTAAGATTCCGAGAAGAAGCTTTTTTTTTTATAGATGCCAATGGAATGGTTACTCTATATGTGCTACCGATTTAGGTTGAAAGGATACTAGTGAAAAATGATAGGTGAGGATGAAGTTGGTCTATTTC